TATAACAAGCAGAGAGACTCTCTCAGACTGCAACTCAGTATGAATGAGCTGTTTGTCAATATCCCTGGGTCTCTGGTGAGCACCAGCAATGACTCTGAGGATATTGCAACTCTGTCTCCTTCCACCAGAGATCATAATTGGGCTATGAATTTTTATAACAGGAGAGTCTTCCTGTAGCAGTCAGAGAGTGACAGAAAGTTTAGTTAACAGTAAAAAGAGCTCAGAACAGGCTGAGTGGCCAGCATGGGTATCACTTAAATAGGCAATGCCTTTTTCTTCCCATCTTCATCTTTTTTTTTCTTTTAAAACAAACATCTGTTACAGCTTACTGGCTAGATCTTCTGCAATATGCAGCTCATTTCTGAATGTTGCTCACTGTACTGGTTTTCTGCCCAAGGACATGAGAGGCTCTCTGGCACCATGGGGGAATTTCAGAAGCCGATGGAGGTGAGGAGAGGTAATTTATAAATCGAAACCAAATGATAGCAAACGGTATGAGCTAAAGTTGTGTCTTCATGTGCAATGAGCTAATTGGACCCATTTCATGTCAGGTCTCTGAAGCTCAGCTTATCAACCTCTTCTTCCTGATGCTCTGCTCATTATAGACACTCAATGGGGGACCAGCACCTGCTGGGAAAAGTCCTCTGAAGGTAGGTTATTTGTGACAAAGCAGATTTACTTCAGGAAAAAGAGAGAAGAGAAAGGGAGCAGCTATGCAAGTAGCTGTTTTCAGGGTCACATTTGTTTTATCTAGCTTATCTGCATTTGAAGAGTTTGTCTCTGCTCTATAAAATCTCTAGGCATTTTTGTCTTTCTCTGACATATCAGAGTTTAACTGGGCTTTATTTATTACTTGGTTGCCGATAGAGAGTAAATTTTACGTCTTTGTCCCTGTGTCTCTACTTTGAAAAGGAAGATTAGAACAGATAGAACTTTCCTATTTCTGGAACAATCTATCTTTGCCACTGACTCTGAGATATTTTAATAATATCTTGAGCCAATTCACTCATTATCTTCTTTCATAACCTGTCTTCAATGATTCAGCATCATATTCTAAAGGGAAAGGAGACAGAAACAGTGTATGGATCTCACCTCTGAGATGGCGGCACTCAGCTGTGGATATACAGTAGAGATGCAGGCAGTTCAGTATGTGGGAAGGTTTTGGGTGTCTCTAGGAATACCCATGAGTACATGGAGTAGGCAGCTTTGTATATTGTGTCTTCATGGGAACCTGATCCTGGAATTTGGAGTCATTCAGTTTTCATGGTGCAATGGTGGAATTGAATTTAGTAAATTATTTTGAATAAAAGGGTCGGCTATCTATCACAATACATACACAACCCTTAATAGGAGTATTTTACTGGTGACCTCACTGGGTGTTTCTAAGTTGCGAGAACATTGCCACTCATCACTGCAACTGTAAATGGCTGTCCTTACCTACTCACAAGTGGTAGAGTGTCTATCCTTTAGATCCTCCACGAGACAAAATAAGAAAAAGTACTCAGAGACACTCCAAAAATGTATTACATTTTACCTTATTTTACAATTCTGCTGTGCATATGAGCGTTGTATGTGTATGAAAGAGTTCTTGAGTGTGCGTGTGTTGCTGAGGAACACCCAGGCACATATGTGAGGAGCCCAGAGGTTCACATCTGCTGTCTCTTCTATTGTTCCCTGCCTTATTATTTTACCCACTGCCCCCCCCAAACTTGTATCTTGCTGATTCAACAAGACCGGCTTGCCAGCAAGTGCCAGGGATCCTCCTCTACCTGCTTCCCCAGCTAGGGGATTCCAGGCATGGAGCCTGCAAAGGACTTTCTAGGTGAGTGCTTGGGGTCAGAACTCAGGTCCTAGCCTGTGCAGCAAACACTTGTTAAGGAGTCATTTCCCTAACCTCATTACAAAGCTTTTTATTATCAGCACTGCCTTGTCAATTAAAATTTAATTTTACATTTATGAATCCTAAAGATACTAATAAAGTAATATAATTACCATAAAAGTAAGTGTAATAAGAAACTACTGGAAAATTTATAGGTAAAGCTCTTTTGTGGGCTAACACACCTTTTCTTTAAAAAAATTAATTTATATTATTTTGAGAATTTTGTACTTGAGTATCGCATGCACATCAGCACCACCCCTCCTTTCTCCCTCCAATTCCTCTCCTGTCCAATTTCATTACAGAATCTATGGCCTCTTCTTTTTTAGTTACTATTTAATTAATTACTATATATATATATATATATATATATTCTACTTTTATTTCCCCCACTAAGTTGTAAAGATAGGGAAATAATTTATCACTCCAGAGACACTTTTTGATTGACACAAATGAACATATAAAACCGTGCAGATTTAGAGCCAGAGGAAAATCTTAATAGTGATCGACTGTGAAAAGTTTAATTTTACTTGGTAGAGAAGCAGGTGTGGGGTATCACTGGCTTCACCTGGCTCTTGGCGCTATGGTAGTGTAGTGGGAGCAAACTTCTGCCAGCCTGTGCCTGGCTACCACAGGCGCGAGTGCTGACTGTCTTAGACGTGTCTATGGATATTTGGTTATGAGTTAGTATTTGTGCCTTTGTCATCGATGATGCCGTAATCATTGGAACTGCAAACACTTCTTAGAAGGAAAAGCCTTCTTTTATTTTTCCTGAACAGTGTGTCTTTCCTTTCAGTAAAAATTAAGTTGTAGCTGGATGTGATGGCACATACTTTTAGTTCCAGCACTTGGGGAGGCAGAGGCAGACAGATACCTATGAGTTTGAGGACAGCCTATTCTACAAAGGTAGTCCAGGACAGCCAAGGCTACAGAGAGCAACCCTGTCTCTGAAGAAAAAAAAAAAATATATATATATATATAGATATATAGATAGATATAGATATAGATATATATTAAATTGGAACTAAAAAAGCTAACATTGTAATTTAAGTGTTTCATTCTTCACATTTGAGAGAGAGAGAGATATTTTACTTGGGAAAGGCAATTTACATGTGATTGAGTTTCCAAAGTTTAAACTGTAAGAATCCACTGCAAAGACTCAAAGTAGCTATCCTTAAAAATATGATTCTCTCCCAGGCACCCGAGTTAGTGAAGCATGTAACAATTTATGTCTTGATTTGTAAGTAAAGTAAATTTATACTGAATACTAAAAATGGATGCAAGTTCAGCCATTGACTTCAATCCAATAAGTTATCCTAAATGGAAGCCGCTATTCCTGCTGTGTACTTGCACCATGTGAAAGAAATCTGTTATAAACTAAGTTCCCTCACGTTGAGCAAATTGTCCAAAATGGAAATGCTTGAGACGACTCATACACTTCAGTAATGAAGAGAGGAGCGGAATGTAAAGATGGAGGCATTTTCTGAATAATATGTGCTCTCTCCTCAACCCCTCTAACGATACAGGAGGGGGAGAAATCCGGGCTGCCAGATTTATGGGCTAGTTATTTTACTTGTATTTCATTTTTATGTGTGCTTTATACTTTTACAACAAGTAAAATTATTCCCATCAAAAAGTTATTTCTACTGAAACAGAACAAATAGAACATTCACAGGAAGCCCAGGATCACAGATGTTTGTAAAGTAAAGATTTCTCTTCACCCAGAGTTCTTATTATGACTGCTTGAGGGTAAACATATATATATATATATTTGTCGTAGCACAATTGACAATACTGACAGCTGACAAGTGGAGAAGATGGACAGAGTAACCAGGGCAGGAAGAGTGACAGCCCTTAGGTAACCACGCCCACTCATGGCTGTCTGAGTGTCTCTGTTCTTTTCTGCTGGTCTGGCTTTCCCCAGCTACTGAATTTATCCACGCACCAGCTGGCAACATGGCTCTTTAGGTAAGGACGCTTGCTGAAAATCATAAACAGCAGAGTTCAATCCCCAGAACCAACTTGGTGGAAGGGGAAAACCATCGCGTGAATAGTTGCCTCGCTTTTGCCTTTTCACTGATGAGCAATCCTCAGTGGAACCAGAAATCAGGGACTAGGACATGGCGTGTGCTCCATTTACCAAAAGTACCTCGGACAGAGCCACCTGCAGGTACATGTGGCTGAAATTAGTGACCTTTGATAATTATAGTCCAAAGTGCTCCACTTCTAAACTAGGCTGACTTTCTGATTTTTAACACGGCTTCAGGTGTTAAGTTTAAGCTCCTGCACACAGGTGGAAGGCGAATGGAGAGGATTGGCGCCTTAATCTGTCCCTTGCTATCCCCCCTCCCCTTATAGTGTGTTTCTGTCCAATGCAGGCGCAGGGAAACATATTTGGAATGGCTTGAATAAAACTTAAAATGTGAAGGGATTTCTGAAAAGGTATCTAGGAAAAAGACTGTGGAAAGAAGAATCATGTGTCGTTAATGTCATTTTTCACAAACCTTTAGGGATTCCATTGCGTTACCCAGGCAGCCATCTAGGGAATCCAGGCTGGAGGTTAAAGCCTTTCTATTGCCTTAAGTCAGCGGAGGCACAGCCTCAGGGCACCGTGTGGGACAAACGTCTCCCTTGCAGACAGGTGTTGCACACACCCAGTGGAGCTCCAGGCGGGGATTCCAGCCCCCCCCCCCCCGCCATCCCCTCCACCCCCACCGCCCTGCTACCCCTGCTTTCTCGAAGTGCTGGAGCATGCCTAGTGGCCGCTCTGGAGCCGCCGAGGGTTTTTGCATCGGCTCACACTCCGCTTCTCCGGGTTTTATCCGGAGCCCGCGAGGGGGGTGGGCGGGGGGCCGGGGGAGCCCGCAGAGCCCGGCGGCCTGGGCTACACGAGTGGGGAGTGCGTGCGGGGCTGTGTCTCCCGCGCGCTTGACGGTTGCTCGGGAGATGCTGGAGCGCAGAGCCTGGCTGCTGCTACTGCTGCTGCTGCACCTGGCGCGCTGAGCACCGCGCGGGGAGCCCCCGGGGCCGGCGGCCGTGCGGGCGCGCGGGTGGCGGACTGCGGTAGAATGAAAGCCTGGCTCCTCCGGCGTTGCAAGCCACCGCTCCGGCCCGATCAGGCGCTGGCAGCCAGCCGCCCGCCGCTCCACTAACTTGCCACTTGGTCGCGTCTGGTGTCTGCGTTCTCGGGTGGTGGTGGTGGGGGGCGGGGACAGTGGGGAGTCCGAGTATCTGCGGTAGCCAAAAAGAGGGATCCTGCAAAAGGGGGGAGCCTGCTTGCCTCTGCTGCTGCTCTCCATCCCCTCCCTGGCGCTCCCCTCCCCCCACCCCATCGCTGCCGCCGCTCTTCTCTTCCGCCAATTTCAAGAGCGACGGGGCGTCTGTGACATGAGATCGCTTGCCAAGTGACGGTCCCCGTGTGAAGTGCCGGCGAGGAAGTGTGGGCTCCAACGCGGGCGGCCAGGGGATGACAGCCATGAAGCAGGAGCAACAACCCGCCCCCGGGGCCAGGGCAACACAGTCGCAGCCAGCCGACCAGGTGAGAGTTGGCCTCTCGGGATTATCTCTCCGGGGAGGGGTGGCTCCAGTCAGCCATCCCGCACCCCCTAGTCCCTCAAGATCGGCTCCCACCCTTGCTTCTCTTCATCCTCCTTCCGCCCTACTCCCAGGCTCTCTCGCTTCATCTATGGACCCAGCAGGAACTTAGAGCATCCTAGTGCGCTCTGGGGCCGGGAGACGGGATGCTTAAGGTGGAGAGCGTCGGGGAAGGGGGCAGAGAGGTAAAGGCTGGAGATGTACCCCAGGTGCCCCAGCAGAAAGGCTGCCATGGGAGAGAGAAGTGATCTGGTCTCAGCCCTGGGGAGTCTTGACTTCTCGTGAACGCATTTTGGATAGACCTAGCGCGATCCTGGAGACCGTGCACAGGTCCAGCCCTGTCTCACTGTGGCGCAAACGCGCGCTGGTCAGAGATACTGAAGTAGGGAAACGACCTTTAAGCTAGCAGAGTTTCCTTTCTTTTTTCTTTTGAGGGGACTGAGGTGGAAAAGCTAGGTGGGAGAGGAGGACAGAGCTTCTCTGGTCTGCTGAGCAGAAACAAGCATACCGGAGTAGAAAGGCATTTATTTTCGGGGTGGAGGTGGCAAGGCAGATTCTGGCTTTAGTGGTTTGTTGGGTCCAGATATGTCGTATCTGCATAAGTAAGGTGCCCTGTATTGGCTGAAAGGTTATTACTGTCCCTTTTTGCGTCCTTCAGTACCTTCCACCCTCCCCCCCCCCCCTTTTTTTTTTTTTTTTTGGTTATTATTGTTTAGGTTTTTTGACAGTATGTAGCTTAATGTTATGGAGAGATGTCTGTCTTCCCTGTGTCTGGTTCGGGGCAGATTTGAGAGTTGGGTCACGCTTTTTCCTAAAGTTGGAGGGGTCAGGAGCGTGGCGATGCTCCATCAAGGAGGAGGGGGTCTGTGAAGAGCCTGCCGGAGATGCAGTCACGTTTACATCAATTACAACTGGACTAAGAGAGCCGTACTTGGTCAGCGCAATACTCTGACGCTAGAGGACCCCCGCAGCGAGATGCGGGGAGGTGGAGCAGGTAGAGCTCCCCGTCCAAGAAGCGCACTGTCTGTCCAAGGCTGCTAGAGGCGTTCCCGGCAGACACTCTCAGCTCGTCGTTAGAAGTGGGGTGACTGGGCCGGGGGAAGGTGCAAGGAAGCTAGACCCAGCGCTTCAGTTCTTGGTATGCTAAACACTGAATCTGCCTCGGAGGAGCTGTCCAAATTGCCCAGGAGCGATGCTGAAGCAAAGGAAGGGATGCCAGGGACTCTGTTATTAATATTCTAGTCTTGGTCATCTCTTCTGGCTTCTGGTCTCTTTCCTCCCTTTCTCTCCCCTTCCCATATCTCCGAACATGTGTTTCACACAGGTGGAAAAAATTCAGTGTTTTACAGCTCTATGTTTACGGAGGTAAAATTTGCAGATTTCTGTGAAGCTTTGGTTGCCCTCAACCATCCATTCTGGTCCTTAGATAAGAGTGCAAAGATTAAAGCTTTATTCCAGAATGTTCCCTCTTCTCATACCTCTCCTCTGCCCCCTTCCTTACCAGCACACACAACCATGTAGAGACTGTTTAGCAGACTTATTTAAAACTATGTTAGGAGAGGAGCATGGATGTGACATTTCCCCTTCAATCTGAAGTCCTTAAATTTCATCAACAAGGCTTGGGCTCTTGACTGCTATTGGAGTGATGTGACCGATAAGAATGATTAGTCAGGAGTGAGTCCACACATGAAAAATTTTGCTCACTAACCTGTGACACCAGCTGGTAACTCGAGGTGCTGCAGACTGCTCCTGTAAAGGTGGGGGTGGCTTGCAAGAGGCAAGCAGACACACAGAAGCACATTGTGTGTGTGCATGGCAAATCCCTTTGTCAGAATCAACCTGACACTTAAAATTCACATGGTAATAGAGGTTCAGGCTTGAATTCCTTTCTTTCTAAGTTTGCATATTTTAATGGCTACCCCGGATATTCAGGGCATGGTCATCTGCAGAACACTAGTTCAGGTTGGGCGCTTTTAAGAAATTCTGTCCTTGCACGTGGTTCCAAAGTGTGAGTGGCATATATTCCACACGTGCATTAGAAGAGGTTGATTTTATAAATGCAAGGTCGGATTGATATAATTATGTAGGTAGCCTCATGGGAATCTCTCAGAAACTCCTGGGGGACCCCTATAACCAGCACTCTCTTTGTCTGAGGATTAACACATGAAATGATGGCTGTATACCGTGGGTGATTGTTGTGAATACTTATGTTACAGTCTGAAGGCCACAAAGAATTGGACAGTCAGTCACTATGCCTTGAATTTCAAATTGTCAGACAATGTTCAGACCATATAGATATGCTAGAATAATAGTGTTGGCTATGATACTTCCAAATAAAAATCCACAATTAACTTGTCCCTTTGTGCAGTTCTACTCAGTGGTTAAACAGGAGGCACGTTCCAGCCACTCTCTCACTGGGTATTGATTCTGAATGATTTAGATTTCTGAATGTTGTCCAAAAGGTCTTTCATTTTCTGTGATAGAGATTTTCATGAGCCTCAAAGATGCCTTGTCCTGTGGCATCCGACACCTATGTATATTTGGCACAGGGCAAGAAGAGTGATTCCTGGCATGGCAGTGGTTAGGGGTCATAGAATCTGGTTATCTGACCAGAGGCAGCCCCTCCAGAAAAAAGCAGCAGGGGCTGCACATTTTTAAGTATTTTGAATCATTGCTAATATATTTATCATTTTACTCATCACTCTTTTTAAATAGCCATTGATTCATTTATTTTTATAAGACTGATTACAATAGATATTTTTGTTGTCATAATACTCTACATTATAAAATGTTCAAAAAGAAACATTCGGGCACGGATAGCTACAGTCACTCCCACTTACTGTGATCAGTCCCTCACTTTGTATTGATGGCTCTAAGGGTATTCAGTGGCCAATTAGAGCTCATTGCCATCTGAGGACAGCCATGTCTCAAGCACTTGCCGGGTGTGCTCTGATATTCTTGAGCTAAGCGACGTTTTGAGGTCCATTTTGTAGTTATTTCCATTTTAGGGATGATATAAATGCTCCCTCCCCTTTTTTTTAAAGTTAAGCCGCTTAACCAAACTTGTCTTAAGAAATGGTGACATGATAGACTTGGCTCATTTAAATCTAACCTCCTAACTTCTACGCAATCATGACAACATAGTCTCATGAGAACAGGCAAAATGATTGCAAAGTTTGCTTTGTGCATGTGTGCACAGATTACCTTGAAGGGTAAATGGATGTATCTCTCTTTGAATCATCAACCACTGTGTAAATGTTGCCCTTTGAAACATTAACAGTTAACTAGACATATAGTTAAATAATCTATAAACTATGAAACAAATCAGGTAGATCATAGCAAATACATTATGAACTTTTAAAAACGTTTCTATCACTCTTCACTAGTAGTGAGGGGGTTCCCAAGGTTTGTGAGGAGAGTTCAGCAAGGCGAGGTTTCGAATTTGTTCTCAGTCCACCAGGTGGCGCCCTTCTGCTGACACCAATGGGGACAGTTACTGCCTGAATGCTAGATTGTCTTCTCAACACCAAAACACAAAACAAAACCAAAAACAACTGTGGGAGCACACAAAACTCAAATAAAGTAAAAGAACAATTGCACTTCCTGGAATAGAACTAAACAGCACTTTTAAAAACAATTGTTTGACAGCAATGACAAAAATTGTCACCCATTTTTCTTTCTCAACATGCAGTTTTTGTAGAAGACGATTTTCCACAACACACTGGGGCAGGTCTCCTGATAACGAACCTGCTATCAAGCCATGGTGATGTAGAGCACGCATTAAGGGAACCGGGACATACAGCTATTCTTCTTTTGTCCATTAGGTAAAACTACTTGAAAACCTTTTGACAGAGCAGCTGCCATTCAGTATTCCTATTGCAGATTTGCATAGCACGAGCTTGATTAAAATTTTGAAGTGTGCCCTAAAGACAAAGTTGTAAAAACATTGTTCATGTTTCTTCTACTCATATATAAACATATCATAATTTAGCCTTTTTTTTTTTTTTTTTTTTTTTCTTTTAGTATTTTGAACTCTTTGGAAGTGATTCTGAAAAGCTTGTTTGAACCAGGCCTGTAACCACAGTCTCTCAGAGACAATCAAGAATCCAGGACAACCAAGAGTCCAGGCAATCCTAGGGTTCATTTCAGAGCTGTGAAGCAAACACAGCACAACACAACACAACACAACACAACACAACACAAAGTTCAAGTGACAAATTATATAGGGGACATATTATTTTATTATAACCAATGTTTACAATATACCATGCAATTTCCAGTGAGAGTTTTCTACAATTTGGTTAGAAAATGTAATTTTGGTTGAATAAAGATCATTCTATGATTTGAGACAAAATGTAAATTTTCTATTCTTTGTCGTTTTTGCTGTGGTGTGTGTGTCCAATGCCCATGCACAGCATCTATCTCTTGCTGTGGTGTGTGTGTCCATGCCCATGCACAGCATCTATCTCTTGCTGTGGTATGTGTGTCCATGCCCATGCACAGCATCTATCTCTTGCTGTGGTGTGTGTGTCCAGTGCCCATGCACAGTATCTATCTCTACTGCTCTCCATCTTGTTTTTAAATACTGAGCCTCTCCCTGAACCTGAAACTGGACCGTGTTAGCTAGAATAGCTGGCCACCACACCCAAGGCATCTGCTTGTCTCCCTTCCCCAGAGTTCCTGCTGCTGGATCTCATGTATATGCTGAGAATCCCAACTTGGGTCTTACACTCAGACATCAAACAGGTCGCTGAATGATACATGCCTCTCTTCCATACTTTTGAAACAGCCTTGCTATGTACTCCATCATTGGCTAGACCTCCCTATGTATCCCAGGAAGACCCGACTCGATCCTCCCTCCTGAGTGTGGAGGTCACAGGTGTGATTACCATCCCTGACATTTTAGGGTCATCTAATTTCTCACTGTATTCACTTAAACATAAA